CACAGACGCGCGCTGCCGGGCGCGGTCTCGTGCACTGGAGCTGCTGCGCACTGCGCCTGTGTGGCGCGGGCACGAGCAGAGGCCCTGGCTGGCGCGGTAGGCGCTGCGGGCATGCGCGGGTCGGCACTGCACGCGCGGTATGCGCGGCTAGTGACCGGGACCGACCCTTGCCAACTAATTTTCAACTTTTCTAGTCACATGCATTATGTATCAGCATAATATAATGAAATATACTTAAAAATGTTGAGAAGCCCTAGGAGGCCTCGGGTCTAATTAGGCTTGGTCCGGTAGGGCCGTTAGGGCACCTGCGGACCTAGGGTCACCGAACCCACTTCTTAATCTTACTTAAATGATCAAGGCAGAATGTTAAGCATCACAATTGAGAACTATTATGGCTAATACTTGGGTCATAACATGCATGCATGTAACTAAGCCTCGGGTGCCCAAATTAGCATTAAATCATGAGCAATATGGTCGAACAACCAAACTCTAAACATGCTCAAACTTTAACATCATCAATAACATGATTTTTAAGAGTGATTTAACTACAAGTTTCGACTTAGGCATGCTTGCTACTAAAAATTCATTTTTAAGGCCATTTATTCTTAAAATTCGGAACTCATGATTTTTAACGTGCATGGCTTGATTTTTCTACATGAAAAATCCTAAAATATCATAAATGGGCTGAGGGAAAAACATAGGTCGAGCTAACCTTCACCGAAAGTGGAAAAATGGTTGCTAGGGCTTGCTCGGGTTCACACGCGGCTTGGAAGGCTAGGACTTGGCTTGGGGCGAAATTGGCTGAACCTTGGAGGATGAGAAGTCTTAGAATAATCTAAGGAATGATGTGAAGTGGTTGAGCCTCGGTGGAATATGGCTGGAACTTGCTGCAGCTCGGTAGACCCCCTTCTCGGCCTCGCGCGCGCGTGTGGAGTGGCTTGGCTTAGCTCTCAGTTTTTCCTTCAATCCCCTCAATATGTGCGAGTATTCTAAGTGTCAAGACCTCAAAATGGCTGAAGAGTGAGCCTTAAATAGAGCAAAGGGGCGGAGGTTGCTAGGTATGGACAAAGGAGACCATTTAAGTGGGAAAATGCACTCTCCATGCATGTGGTCTTGGGGCTGAGGTCTTGTACGTTTTTCTTGGGTGGAATGGCAGGTTTTTCAGACCATCTTGGTCAAATGGAGCAGGTTTGGTCGCAGATTCAAGGCACTAGCACTATAGGGGACAAAGTCTTACACAAAGGTATTAAAATAATGGATTGCCCACACTCCACTTTGAGCTAGTGCTAAGCTGACTTCCTTAATACTTTGTAGGGCCATATTAGTTCAAAATAATCCTCATTAAGTCCTCTAAACACGCAAGTCTTGGGTCATGGAGGATTTGGGCCGGAAATTCCAGAAATGGGCTCAAGAAGATGGGCTGTCGCGCTGCCAGCGCTGGGCACTGGGCACGGGCGCGGCATTGGGCCTGGGCGCGGGGCTGCGCGTGGGGTTTGACTTGGGCTGAGGACATGGGCTGAAATGAGACTTGGTTGAGTTCCTCAACACTTAGAAAAATTTAGCAAATGATACTAAGGCTTAGCTAAGGCCTTGGGCTCGGTGGAATCGCCCTTGGGCGCGAGATGGGCGCGAGTGGCTCGGGTGGGTTAGGGCTCGATTTAAAAATCCAAGACTTGAACTTTGGTATTCCCACGCACTTAGAAATTATTCTAAGTACAAAAATACCAAGACTTGGCTATGCTTGGAAAATAACTTGAAAAATAATCGTAACCAAACTAGGGTTCGAAGCCGATAATTTCTTGAGTCGGTTTGCTATAATTTTAACAATCCAAATTAATGGATTGATCTTGACTTATACTTAATATAGAGAATTCCCAAGAATGATCTATCAAACTTAGGAATTAATTGAGCATTTAGCATATATATAATATAACTCGAAAATTCTAAAACTTACGGATTTCACTTATAGTCGAGCAGTGAAACAAGAAAACGCCAACCTTACAAAAAAAGGAAGCTTCAGTGGCATATCCGGTATCCAGAAAAGATATTTTACTTTATTATTTAGCAGCCTAATGTATCATACTTCGAAATGTATAATTAAATGCAAAAGTAATAACATTTTTGTATATCAATCATTATCTGTTGCACACACCTTGTTCCGGCTTCCGAGAGTTTTTCCATCTGTTCTCTCGCCTCCGAGAGTTCTTTCTTCATGTAGTCGTTCTCGGACTTTCCCGAGTCAGAAATTGTCTGCAGTTTTCTTTCAAGCTGCTTAATATGTTCCTCCAACTACTCCCGTGTGGGATCGGGATCGCTCTGCATGACCCCACCCTGCAAAGGACATATTTTAAGAACACTAAATTTGCATTTAATTTTTAATTTATGATCGAAAATAAGATACTTTATGTGCAAGCAAATTGATGGGTATGATAAAGTAACTTTTTTTTTCTACCAAAAGCACTAAGCCTTTTTTTTCTTGTTCTGTAAAAATGTCGTTTACAAATGACACATGAATCAATGCAAGGATTTGTTGGTAAGGCGAAAAGCGGTTATTCAAGTAGTGAGCTGGTCACCCAACTAGCTGCTATTGGTTTGAGGGATGAGCCAGCTGGATCATTCACTACAAAAAGGTATATTAGTCGTAGTTTCTTCAAATATTGCCTCTTTTTTGATATCTATGTTCACCAGCTATGTGGATTCAGCTCTTTTCTTTCCATCGAGTACATCCTTAAGCTTGCCCATTACAGCTTTCATTAGTTCAAGTTCTTGTGTCAATTTATATATAAGTGTGTCGATCTTTTGAAGCCAGCCTCTGGGCGACTTCCTCTGCATGAGTGACACCACCTTGCTGCAATTGAACAAATGACACAAGTCATATTTCCAGCACTGAATTTGCATTTAATTTTGATTTATGATCGAAAATAAGATAGGCAAGTGATTTATGATTGAAATACATAGCCATATTACCTCTTTTTTTTTTTCCACATCTTCCTGCTCTTCAGCTCTTTCCTTCTCCTTTACATCCTCTACCACATTCTAGGATAATCCAACATCATCTTGGGCCAGCTCATTTGTAAGCGTCTCTTTTGAAGCTTGCCTCTGCTCGACTTCCTCTACATGAGCTCTCGAGCCTTCCAAGACCCTTGCTTGAACTAGAGGAACACCATGTAACGGAAAAATCAACTCAACTGAATTAGTGAAAATAAAATGGCACATGACATTTAACTTTGAACAAAACACTTCACTTATCATATGGATAATCTATAATCTATCTATAATCTATAGCTCTAAGGATGAGTTATCTCTTGAAAATTTTGAATTGCCCATACTACAACCAAAAGATGTTACTCTAAATGACATAAATGTAATTTGTGATTTTAAATTATAGTTGATAATGATGTTTTGTAACTCATACAACCATATTTAAATAGATAATTGAATTGCCAATACTACCATCAAAAAAAAGAAATTTAACTTTTGTTTGAAAGATATAAATGTAATTAATTTTAATTGAGAATCACATTACTACTACACACTTGTCTTCTATTTTATAAACTAGGAAGATGTACGCACGTGATATTTTTTTTTTTCAAATTAGTTTTAGTATAAGGTTTATATGTGATAGTATAATGTAATATTCTTTCAATTAGTATTTCTTTCAAATTATTTTTAGTATTATGTTTATATTTAATAATTTAATATAATTTTATTTCAATTAGTTTAAAAAAAAATGGTGTATTTTATTGAATAATGAAATATAGTATTTAATACTATTAGCTGAACTCTAGGATAAATAAAATGAAATAAAAAAACATTAGATTGAAAACTCAAAATAAAGTTAGTATTTGTTTAGTGAAAATGTAAATGCTAAAGAAATTTATATCGCCTTTGATTTTGTTATTTAATGATATCTTCAATGTGCTTAAAATAATGATCACTATTATTGTCATCATAATATAGTTTTCTAATGTCACCCTTTTGCACCATACTTTTAAAAAAATAACTCAAAATTGTTATAACTATAATTTATAATATTATTTGTTATTTACTGTCGATTGGAAGCTAACAAACTATGTCTGAATAATTTGTTTGAGCATTTTGTGCTCAAATTATTTGTTGACATCCGAGTTCGTCCCGAAGAGGAGAGGGACAATAGGTACCTCCCAAAAGCCGAACCGACTCCCAGAGCCGATCCGAAGACCCGGTCAAGTGCAAGTGCCGATCTGAATCCCAGATCTAGTTAGCCCAGACATCTCTGCGGGCCTGTCCGCGAGCCCGGCGTTTGTTCTGTTCAGACACCGGTGTCGACCTGAAGCAGGTGACGGGCTGAAGTAAGGTTATGGAGGGTCAGAAGAATGAAACGAGATCAAGAGCTGGCCTGAGGTTCCAGGACGGTCCCCCCATAGACGGATGTCGAGCCCGATGATAATATAATAATGCCACTTGGAGAGCAATCAATGGTGATTGGACAGGGCGCCGTAGCTTGCAGGTCTACATCCACTAGCCAAGACATAAAACCTGACAGCATTAAACGACCCCCAGCATGGGCATAACACCGACCAGTGTCGAAACCTGATCACAGCACTGTTGCAGTTGATAGACGGCCCCCAGCTGAAGAAGTTCACCTACCCCACCAAGAAAAGGGGAGGTCGATTTGAGGACGGCCTTGATAGCGAAGATGACTCCGAAATTCACCACCAAAAGCCGCAGCAGGGCGGCAACAATGAAATCATGGTCTTTAGCCCAGCTCACCAAGATTGAGGCCGGCACTTCGAGAAATAGAAAGAGGAACCGACCTTCCACCCAGGGAGACACCGACCCGACCTACCCACCTCGGCACGTCAACACGAGCTGAGGTGACTTTCTCCCCTCAAAGAGACAGGTCAAAGCTTAAGCCCGACAAGCCTATCATGCCGGGCAGAGAGTTCTGCACGCGAGCAGCAGGCCGACGTCAGAATCAACCCCGAACAAGATCTCTTTTACCGATGAAGATGCTTTCCTGTTTGACCACCTGCACTCTGATGCCCTGGCAGTCACCGCCCCCATAATGGCCATTAAGGTGCATCGCATCATGGTCGACACGGGCGCCTACGCCAGCATCCTCTATTACGACACTTTCAAGAAAATGGGTGTCGACGCAAAAGAAGTTCAGTCCTGTCGAGAACTGATCCAGGGCTTCAACGGGTAGACGACGCGACCCGTTGGTCAAATAATGTTGCCAATCAAGGAGACGGGCAGCCCACGAGGACGATTTTGGAGACCTTCAAAATCGTGGAAGCGAATACAACGTTATCATCGGTAGGACGGCATTGTACAAACTGAGGGCCGCCGTCTCAATCTTTCATTATTCTCTCAAATTCCCGACCTCAGACGGGGAAGGGACACACCGTGGAGAGTAGCGGGAGGTGAGAGAATGCGTCCTAACCATTCCGCGAATGGAAATTAATGTGGCGAACCCCGCACCTACGGCCGAGGAGGAATGTGCCGACCTGAGAACCAGGATGGATGACGACCCGGACCTTCCTATAGAAGAAGCCGAGTTGACGAAGCTCCGCCTGGGGGGACGACCGCAAGCTGGAAACAAGACAGGTCCACTCCCCTCGGTTGGAAGCGACGTCGACCTGACAACAGAGGTGTCTTAGGCTGACCAGCACCACGATAGGGGCCGGAGAGCCGGAAAGGAGCCCATGCTGGAAGAGGACGAGATCGATCCCCAAGCTTAGTTTGAAGAAAAGAGAGGTATGAAGCGAGCTGAGCCAATGGTCGAAGTTGAAATCATTTTCGTTGACGAGGAAACCTGTCAAAAGCAATTGCGCATCGAAAGAAAACTGTCGAGCCCAATGAAGGCCGAACTAACTCAGTTCCTCCGGAAGAACGCCGACGTCTTTGCCTGGACCCACGAGGACATGGTCAGCATTGACCCAAAGGTTGCCTGCCACAGACTGCAGGTCGACCCTAGGGTCAATTCGATCATTCAGAAAAGGCAGAGGCTAGGTCCAGATCGACAGCAAGCCCTCGAGAAAGAAGTCATCAAGCTGAAGGAAAACGAATACATCCGGGAGGTCCGCTATCTGACTTGGTAGCCAACCCTGTACTCGTAAAGAAAAGCAGCGGGGCATGGAGGCTGTGCATCGACTTCTCCAATCTCAACAAGGCTTGCCTCAAAGACAGCTACCCTCTGCCACTTATCGACTACATGGTCGACGCAACGTCGGGTCACGAGCTGATGAGTTTTATGGACGCATACTCCGGCTACAATCAGATCCCCATGCACCCGGATGACGAAGAACACACTTCATTCTACTCGGCACGAGGACTCTATTGTTACACGATGATGCCGTTTGGGCTGAAGAACGTCGGGGCCACCTACCAACACCTTGTCAACAAGATGTTTTCTAGTTTGATAGGGGTTAGTATGGAGGTATATGTAGATGATATGTTGGTCAAGTTTGTGTATGCGTCCGACCATGTAAACGACCTTAATAAGATGTTTGCTATTTTGCGTGACTACTCTATGAAGTTAAACCCTAAAAAATGTACATTCGATGTCGGCTCGAGAAAATTCTTGGGCTACATCGTAAGCCAACGCGGCATTGACGCCAACCACGAGAAGATCAAGGTTGTGCAGGACTTGCGACCGCCGACCTCGATCAAGGGGGTCCAGAGCCTGACCAGAAAACTTGCCGCGCTCAACCGTTTCATCTCCAAATCGACGGATTGATGCAAGCCGTTCTTTGAGGCAATCAAGAAAAATCACAAGTTCGAATGGACCCCCGAATGTCAAAAAGCATTAGAAACAATTAAAGACGTTCTCAGCCGAGCTCCAACAATGCAGAAACCACGACCTGGGGAAGCTTTATATCTCTACCTTGGGATTTCCAACACTGCCATAAGTGCCGCTCTGATCTGAGAAGAGGCCTCCTGCCAACATCCCGTCTACTATGTGAGCAAGGCACTCCATGACGCCAAGTTGAGATACCCCCCAATGGAGAAATTGGCCTTCGCTCTCGTCACCGCAACTCAAAAATTCAGACCTTACTTTCTTGAATATCCAATCACTATCCTCACGGCATATCCATTAAAGCAGATAATGGGCCGGTCCGACACCTCGGGTCGGATGGTTAAATGGGCGGTTGAGCTGGGGCAATATGACATCCATTATCAACTCCGAACAACAATAAAAGGGCAGGTACTATCGGACTTCTTAGCCGAATTCACGCCGGGAGTCGAAGAAATAAAAGATGAGGAGCCTTGGGTGATGTACGTCGACGGGTCCTCCACTGCCGGACGAGTAGATGGAGGGGTCGTCCTCATAGATCCCCAAAGGAAACTCTTCTGCCACTCAATTCAGTACCTCTTCCCGACGACAAACAACGAAGCCAAATACGAGTCATTGTTGTCCGGGCTGGCCTTAGCAGAAACCATGAGCCTGACCGACCTCATCATATACTCGGACTCAATGTTGATGGTCAAACAAATATCCGGAGAGTTCAAAGTGAAGGAAGCGAGACTGGTCCCCTACGTCGAGCTAGTGAAGAAGAAGCTAGCCAAGCTTCGAACCCGAATCGAACACATACCACGAACAGAAAACGTACAGTCCGACGCCTTGGCTCGACTCACCTCAAGCGCCAGGGTGGAAAGCGTCGAGTATGTCCAAGTCGGACACAAGGAACAACCATCCGTGGCCAACACCTCCGTGTTATGCATGGGGCCGACCATCGATGGCAGAGACTCGAGCTGGATGGTCCCAATCAGGTCGTATCTCGAGAACGGTACGTTGTCGCCTGACCCAAAAGAGGCCAGACAGCTTCATGTGCGGGCAGCTCGATTCACGATCGTGGCCGGCGAACTATTCAAACGAAGGTACTCAACACCTCTACTAAAGTGCATAAGTGAGAAAGACGCTGAATATATTCTGTAAGAAGTACAAAAGGGCGTGTGCGGCAACCACTCCGGAGGATACGCCCTCGCTCACAAAGTTTTGAGACCGGGCTATTGCTGGCCAGGTCTGAAGAAGGACGCCCTGGAGATGGCCCGAAAATGCGCTAAATGTCAAACCTTCGCGCCAAACATCATCCAACCATCTCAACCCCTAAAGTCGATATTCAGCTATGGCTATTTGCAAAGTGGGGTGTCGACATGATCGGCCCCCTACCAACAGGCAAAGGCGGAGTAAAGTACGCCGTCATCGCTGTCGACTATTTCACAAAGTGGGT